TAATACAGGACAGGATTAGCTGCAGATTTTTTTGTCATTGTATCTGTTTTAATAAACACAACTGGGCTTTGTGTCCCTTAACAATTAATTTCCTGTTTTGCTTTATCTTTATCTGGGCAGTTATAGTTGCAGAACTCTCATTAGCTCTGCTCCACTGGAACCAAGCTGGTTTTCTCAATTTTGTTCCTTTAGTTTTTTAGTTTTTTATTTATTTTTTTAAATTTAGTCTTTCTATTCACTTCCATGTAGCTTTAAAAAAAGAGTCTCTTGAATGCGCCCACACTCTGTTCTCTCTGTGTCTCTGTCTGTCTGTGGCCTCTCATCAGTGCAAAGCAGGGTCAAATTAAACTGATATCAATGGCTTTCCTTGCCTGAATAATGATAAAAGTCAGCTTGAGCTTTCGATCTACCACAGAGAATTGGATCGAAGTGATCTGACCCTGTGATTATGCAACATCAACATCAACAATTCATATATTACAGCTTTGGCTATGAATTCTCATCATTTTTTACATTTATAAATTAAATCCAAGGTCTCTTTCCCTGTATCCACTACATCATTTTTAAATTCTCTTCTCTCTATTATGTATCTACCACTCTGTCTTCATACTCTCCATCCATTTTCTCCACCACATCCCTCCCTTTCCCCCTCCTCCCCTCTTATTCTCTATCTTAAGTTCAATTTGATGATGTGTCTGTGTTCCCTCTACCTATAATAAGTAAGTAATAAGTAAAGACAAGCATCCATCCTTCTGTCTTTGGTTATTCCACTCTTTCTCTCGTCTTTCTGGCTTCCGAATTTGCCATCTCTGATCTTGCCATAGTACAGTTTCTACTCTGCAGTGTGGTGGCCATCACTGTGAGGAGTTGTCACTCATCATTTTCTTCGTCTTCTTCTATCTCTCATCACGCTGTTCGTCCATCTCTCCCCCTCCCGCGCTCCCTCCACCTATCCATTTTTGTCAAGTCTGAACTCTCCAAAGCCTGGTGCATGCTGTGCAGGGTTGGAACGTAGTGCTGAGGAGTCCTGATTTTTCTCTCCTTTCCCATCTCCTCTCTTCAATCAACTCTCTTATTTATTTCCCTTTCTGTTCCTGTACTAGTATATCCTTCTTTTCCTCCTTACTCTCATCCCTCCATCTCGTGCTGTATCAGCTCTGAAGCCTGCTGTCTGTGCTTTGCTGTTCAGGCCAGCTGCTTAGATGACTTGCTGCTCCATCTCAATCTATCATTTCTAAAGTAGAGTGCTGAGGAGTTTTCCGTCACTCTTTTCCCTCCACCCAGCTTCACTTTTTAGATCCCTCCAGTCTTTTATTTTCTTTATCAATCTGTCTGTCCTTCCTTCGTCTTTCCCTTCTTGGCTGGACAGTTACAATAAACTACCGAGCAAGAATTTTTTGGACGGCCATGAGTTCCCCAAAAGGAGCAGAACGTTTACTGTTAATGACAAGTACACAAATAACATTAAGACAGCTTTGGGAACTGTTCAGTTATAATCAAAAGAATATTTGTATGACTTTGAAACAGGAAACCACATTTCACATCCCGTATCCTGTTTGTTTCTTTCAACCATTAACATTACTTTTCCTTGACTTAAAGCTGCACTAATTAATATTTCCATGTTAAATGTTAAATAGATCAAACGACCCTGTGCAATGTGAACAGAGATATAGCCCACAACTTTGCATTTCTCCTCAGGCTCAGAGGAAACGAAAATAAAGCTTAAAGGAGAGAGAATCTTGGACTTTGTCAGTTGGACAGAAACATGAATGCTATTGTTGCTACTGGATAAGTTGTTGACAAATTTTTTAATGATAAGGTGATAAAATGTCTGTTTTTTGTTTACAGCTTGTTGCACTGCCCCCAAGTGGCCAACAAATCAATGAATGTGAGTTTAGGAAAGTGCTTTCTTCTTCTAAAGCAGCAATGACTTTGCTGTGGATAAAAGCAGTAGTGTTTCCACTCCCTCATTTCATTGATTTCGATGGGAATCCGACCGAATCCGACCTGGTGGCAGACATTAAGAATAAATAACCAATCTTCTTGCTGATGGTCTTGGGTGCTTATGTAGGTCATCTAGAGGCATCAGTATTAAACTGAGACTGTCTTATAAAAACTCCTAGGCAGGTTTAAGCATGACCATGAGCATTCTCTAATCTTAAGGTTAACTTTTGGTTGAGTTTAGGTTTTTGTTGTTTACTTTGGAGAATAAATGTTTAAATAAAACAATGCAAGTAGCATGTATGGATGACTGTACAAGGTTCTTGACAATGTACTCAGGTTTTCTTCATCTTATGAGGTACAAAATTGGTATCTCTTCTGTCCTATTCCTTCCTCTCTCCATCTGCTACTGTTTTCCCAAAAAGTCTTGCCTTCAGTTCACGACTCTTCCCCTCCTTCCGTTCTCTCTGTCCCTCATCATCAGTTTTTATCTGTCCTACTACACATACCTCCATCCCTGCTCTATCTTTCTACCTCCTCTCTCCTCAAGTTCTTCATGTTTCCCTCTCTTCTTTCTTTTTTTCTCCATCTGCTGCACTTTGAAGAGAAGACACTGAAGGGTTGAATTCTGAGCTCCCATCATCCGCCTCTCCCCTCTCTGTCTCTCAACTCTCTGCTTCCCAAAGTACAGCATCTGTTGTGCATGTTGGTCCACTGCAGTGGGGAGTTTCTGCCCCATCCTCCCTCTCCCTGCTCCTCCTCCTCCTTTTCCAATACTCTTCTCCATTCCCTCCAAAGTAGAGGTCGGCCTTTAAGTGTTCTACCATTGCAGAGAAGAGCTTCACTTTCTATCTCTCTCCTCTCCACTGTGGTTGAAGCTCCATCTGGAGTAAAGACTTGCTGATCTCTCCATTTGTCCTTCCCCCCCATTCTCTCTCGTCTCTCCACTCTCCAAATTGTCTGCTGCAAAAAACGTTGGCTCTCTGCAACAAAAATTTCTCGGCCTGTGTGTTTGTCTCTACTCTCGCCATTTTTAACTCCATCTCTCTATCACTTCACTTCTGCTGTTAAGTGTTGTATTAGTGCATGAGGGAATCTTTCTATCTCTCTCAACGCTCTTGTCTCTAATTCTCCAACTCCCCCATCCCTCCTTCCATCTGTACCAGACTCCCCTCTTTTCACTCCCAAATACCAAGTCTGTTGTGTGATGTTGTTGGTTATAGACAGACTATAAAAAGTTGCAGCTAACATTTTAGCTTGTGAGGCTTTAAGTTTTCTTTCAATTATTTGACTTTATCATTTTGGGGCATTTTTTTTCATGTGAAATAAAAATTGCAATCGTGGCCCTGCCTTTATACTCAAACTGGCTGCTGTAGATGCTCCTTTTCACTTCAGACAATGTTTTGAACCATGGGTTTGAGCGAACAGTCAAAAGTAATCATTAGTACCAAAGCTCCATATTTATAATGTCAGTCCTTATTTACAGTGTCATTTTCCCTCTCCCTCCCTCTCACCTCTTTTTTCTTTTCAAAACACAGGGTCTGTTGTGCGATGTTGGACCACTGCACTGAGAAGTGGGAAGTCTCACTTTTCAAAATATCATTAAAAGTCAGCCTGGCTTTTACCAGCCAGTTAGGCAATCAAGTAGCACTAAATGGATTATTGAAAAGCGGAGAAAGTTTTTCTTTGAAAAGACACTGTTTGAATTGGACACATTGACGAACTTTAGCCCATCACACTGTGAGGTTTCTTTTTGTTTTCATTTGTTGCATTTATTGAGCACTTTTGGTACCGTACAATATTATAATAACATGTTGTTTGCTATCTAAGTTCCATAATGTCTTTGTTTGGGGCTTTTTCTCTTGAACAAAGCTTTTGATCCAGTGTGTACAAAGTAATTATTAGTGCCTTGTTCAGCAAAGATGCAGTAACAAACATCTTATTGCAAGCCTGTCTCTTAAAATTGTATTCATATGGAAGTAACATGCAATAACAAATATGTTCTGATAAAACATAAGGAGTTTCTGCTTGTGTTTTTTATCAACGTACACCCTACAGTACGTACTACTTCATGCACATCTTGCGCAGATCGGATAACTCCGATCTCAAAGGTGTAAATGAATCCAAGAAGCATTCTAGACAGGCTGAACTCCATTTCCTCGAGACACATTCTAGCCAGATGCTGAAAAGGTGTGAATGCATGCAAAAGGTGCACCAAGCTGTTGTAGCATTTATCTGAGAGAGTACTGGGTTGAATGGGCGAGGGAGGGGCATGGATAAAAGCCCTTGAAGAATATAAAACAGTTGTCCATAAAGACAATTCATTCACATTTGCGATAGTTTACAGATTGTTGTTAGTTACCAAGCTGTTATTTCCAACTGTTAATGCCAACTAAATTGCTGAAGTGCATATGTTTTCTTTTGGCCTTATTAACACCTTCTTGACTGGAGCAGGGTCTATGTTGATTTGCACATAGCTCGAGAAAAACAGATTGCAATTAGATTTGTGATGTGACCAACAGGGATGCATATATGTTTAACAAAAGTGAATTAAATTGCATCTTATATGCATTTTATACAGATAAGTGACACACAATGAAAGTATCTGCAAACTGTACACTGCCTATGCAAAAAGTCTATACTAAAGATATCTGCAAAGGATTCACTCAACATATTTTAATGCAGTTTCCCTAAACTATTGCTCCTGGAAATTGAAGGTAACTTGAAGCATAGCGACATTTGACATATCTGAACAAAACTACAATCTTTGTCCAACCTGTAACCAATCCCTTTTATGTAGACTAAACCTAACAATAAAAAGATGTCTCTGTTGTCAAAAACCTGTGCCTAATACACCCAGCCACCTTACAACATCTCTGTGGTATAGGAAAGTCCTGGACTTTAAAACATGTTACAAGGGAACATAATGTAGGCAGCATTGATGCTCCCTCCGGAACATATCTCGCAAAAGCAAATAAGTATTTGAATTTATTTTGTTGGAGATGAGATTGCTATATTGACACATTCATAGTTTCTCTACATTCCTCCCTCTATCTCACCTCTCTTTTCTCCAAAGTACAGGGTCTGTTGCGCAGTGTTGGACCATTGCAGTGAGGAGTTGTCACTCGCAGCCACCCGGCAGGTCAGTGTCACCGTGCCCCCCACGGACACCGTCTCATCTGAGGTCACTGGCTGCAAGGGGTCATCGTCTAGGTAACAGGAGAGAGGGGGGAAAAAATCATAAGACAGAGCAATAGAGAGGCAACAGAGACAAGTCAGGGAGACACTGTGTTCATATGAAAACACAAGCAAAAATAGTAGCACACACCAACACACAAATCAGATAAACCCACAAAATGCATTACTCGCCTCGCTCTCTCCTCTTCTCTCTATCTCCCCCCGCCCATCTTTTTCTCTGCTTGTCAGATTATCTATATATCTCTATCTGTCTTTCTGAAAGCAAAGAACACACGGACATGCTGTCAGAGGGACAAAAAAAGCAGACAAATGGCTATCTGGTTGTATGTCTGCAAGGCCAATGTTAGAGCGATGAGTCAGTAGCAGCCCAGGCATCTAGAGACTGCATGACCTGAGGGACCAGCCAAGATGAAGAGACCACGACAGGCAGTGGCTCTCGACAGGTCAAAGCAACAACAAGAGCACTGTTTTATACCTCTAATGGCTTTGTAACCCTCTTTTGTCAATATCTGTGTCAGTTTTTAGCGCCATGCATATGTATCGGCTGGTACAGAACAAGCTCAAACGGGACAGGCATTATGGAAATGAGCAGGTCAGAGGGAAAGAGAAAGAGAATACAAATGACCCAGCATAATGAAGGGATTCTAAAGGCTGAAGCTGGAGCTGGAACACCACAAAAACCACTGAACAGTGAACTGTCTGGGTGTGTAACGGTATTCAAATTGGCTCAAATTATGGTATTTAACAGCACTCCCTTGATAACGGGTGATGGTGCAGGCTAATTCTACTCTTTGCATTCAGTGAGGGAGGCAGACGCTTATGTGACTCAGAACAAGAGATGTATACTAAAACACGTAACCCCTCGTTATGGTAAGTAATGTCGAACACGGCCACTACGGTGATTTTTGCCGTGTTAACTTATTACGGCTTTAAGTGCACCCATGCCATGCTTTGCGCTTCCCTCCCTTTCTGCTCGCTACAAAACGTGCCAGTGCTCGCTCAACCTAATCTCAAGCAAAACAAAAATATGGCATAATTGAAGACAAGACCAAGCCAACAGAGGGAACATCTCATAAGAAGATATGCCTCAAAGCGGTCTCCTCACCCCTGAAAATATGGCGTGTATAAATAGTTTAATTGGAACCAAATTGTCAAGCTGGAGACAGGTTTATATTCAGCGTAGAGCGTTATCGCATCCTTGCACCGGCGGTGGAATTGATTTTTTTTTTTTCTGCAGGAAGAACATCTGCTTAAGTGCGCTTCGGCGGAACTCCCATCAAGACATGAAAGGAGGGGGGGGGACACGTAAAAAGAGGATGCAGGAGAGGAGGCGAGCAAACTAACTGCGTGTAGCATCAAAAACACACATTTGCAGTACATGAGCCGAGAGCAGCAGGCAACTAACTACTATCTCCTTTTTGTTGTAATTTTAAAGCTGGATGGCCAGTTCAACATCCTAGCAAACAAAAGTTATTAGAAAAGAACAAAAACCTTAGGCCTTAGGTTTGCCTCTGGGAGGATTCAGAGCCATAACAGATCTTAAAGGTACAGCCGCTGTTTGCCAAGATCCAAACGGCACTCAGAGACTTGCAGAGCCCTTCCTGTCAGAGTAACTCGCTGCCTTGCTCTCTGAGGTGTTTTACCTCAGCCCTGACCTTGTGGTTAGTTTATCTAAGCAGCATGATTGCTGAGGCCTGAACGTGTGGTCAAGTGCACCACGGATTAGTGTCTCCTTTAATAGCATCTTGGGCTAATTCTTGCGGCTGATCGCAGGAGCTCCTCTACTTGGCATGAACACTTTGGGTAAATTGGCTGTCCCAGTGCATCACTCATCAAGCCAACCACAATGAGCTCCGACAAGTTAGCCAAACTTGTGTCTTATCTTTGCCCGCCACAGAGTGCTGGCAGTTCTGACCAAGAACAACCTGTGTTCGAGGCTCAGAGTGACATTTGTGCTGGTAATACAATTCCAGTGGTCAATTAGTGGCTCTTCAGCCATGAAAAGAATTTGAGAAGATATCTGCTTTCAAGTGGACACATTTCTACAGAACTATGTACAGAGGATATAATATTTTGCCTTTTCCCATGGTCATGCCTTGTTCAACTCAGGGCCTTTTAACCTGTTGTTATAAATCCCCCCCTCCTTTTAAAGTGTGTCACATATAGTATTCTCTATCTGCTTGTCCCATCATCTTATTAGTAAGCAGTCTTGTTGTTTACACTCAGTAAAATATTCAGACCCACAATGTTTTTCATGGCTTCGACATTATATAAAATGTATACTTGGTAAATTTGTCATCATATTAGAGCCAACACATTTCTTTTAAGCCTGAAATATTAGACGTTTTTTGGAAACTATGGACTACTATGGAAAATTGGAAATGACTACAAATTAAATAAAGTCTAAAGCGCTCTAACCAAGCTTGCTCTTGTAAAAAATAATGAGCCAAAAACTGGTCCAAAAGAGCTGAAGAAGATAAATCCCATAAATGTAGTGGCAACAAGTGTGCTGTTTCTGCACATTTGTTTGTCTTTTTATTATTTTGGTCCTTTAAATTACTTACTTATTACTTACTTTTATTACAAATTATTGATCTGGGACACTGGCAGCCTAAAGGTTAGATAATTGAGAAGGTGCCCGGAAGATTACTGATTTGATCCATGGACTGACGGGGCGAATCTGACAGTAAAAAGCAGCACTTGTAGCTTAGAGCAAGGCACTTAATCTCCAGCTACTCCAGTGGAGCTCATTGGCCGACTGGTCAGACTGTGCATGTAGTGACTTAAAAAAACATTTCTATATCAATTAATGCAAGCAAATAAATAAAAGTTAATTTCACTCGTATTGAGTATAAAGCCTAAATGTTTCAATGATAATTAAATTGCACTCTGCATCTTAAATCTAAAGCTCCACTTATGCATACAAATCACTTGAAGTTGTGCAGTATATGAGCACAGCCGCAACCCTGTTAGCCCTATCGGTCAAATATTCATCACAAATAAGTTTGGTTTAATTTAGTTGGAGCACTGTGTGGGTTTAATTTAAGAGCATGAGGATAATGTATCAATATTTTAGCAATACTTCAAATCAACATAAGCAGTCATTAAATGGTGTGATGGGTGTGGTTAGCTGCAGTGGGCATTAATATGGGCGCCAGAGAGATTAGAGTATTTGAAATAATATAAAAGTTTCTGTGGTTGCCAAATGACACCCAACCCATCCGCCGGTCCAAACTGGTTTACACAAACACAACAGAATCACTCGCCAGTAGCTTCTGACCCCTATAAGCCTCAGATACATATACAGCTGTTCTTGGCTTTGAAGCTACTTAAGAGCAAAGTTAAAGGGGGGGGGAAATTAAGTTCAGCCAGAGTTTAAACGGTTAAGTCGGGCTAAACACCCGGGCTGCAAAAATGAAAGAAGAGACCTATCTATCCTTAGCAGACGTTAAGTTAAACACTGTGGTTTGCTCTTCTTTCTTCTTTCCTCACATCCACTCCCCCCACCCTCAAGATGCAAGCCTGAGGAAGACACGGGTATTTAAAGCAACACAATTTACACTTTCCCTCGCTGGCAACAAGGTGAGAGAACGCAGAGGTAGAAGGCTGACTGGGATATCAAGTCGAGGGAGGGAGAGAGGAGGAGAGAGAGAGAAAGATGGATGGATAAGGGTATGTAGAGGAGGGTGGGTGATAAAACGAGGCGGGAAATTGTGTGTGTGTGTGTGTGTGTGTGTGAAAAACGGGAGGGTGGGGAGAGAAGAAGCCAGTGTGAAAACAGAGAAAGTGCGAGGAGCTTCCAATGATGGCAAAAAAAAGAGGGGCTGGGGGAATTAAAGGAATAGTTTCAAAATTGTTTTGAAAATAGGCTTGTTTGCTTTCTTTCTGACTTAGATGGAAAAAAAACGATATCCATCTCCATCTCTAAGTGTTACATAAAGAGCTGCAGTCAGGGCGTGCTTAACGTAGCATAAAGATTGGATGCAGGTGGACTGAGAGAAAACAGACCAACCATGTACTCACTGTAAGGACCTCCTTCACTACCAAGAAGCACAAAAAAACACACATTATATCTTGTTTGTTTATTCCGTACATAAACAATAATGTAAATATGACAATAAGCAGTTTTTGGTAGAATAATGCGCAGAAACTAGAGGTCCTCCCAGGTCATCTGAGCCTCCAAATTATTTATTAATTATAAGTGTGCACTGTTTGTTGTCTCTGGTGTGTGTTAATATGTGGGATACAGATGGAATACCTGACCACAGCTGCTTGTTAATTTGTAGCCTTTTCTTCGAAGTCACACAGTTTCAGTCACACATCTTGCTTCGTGTCTAATTATCTACAGGTTTCTTTAGGATCAGAACTTGTCTGTTCTTTTCTTTTTTTTTGAAAATGAATGTATGCACATTGGTTTCAAGTAGGTTTTCCACCAAAAAAAAAAGATTAATCTCAAAGTTTTGTGCCCATGAAGACCTCTAGTTGGAGCTATTTCATGCCAGACAACCTGTGGTGTAGTATAAGAAGCGGATAATGGCCGATTCATTTAAATGGAAATTGCTCATCCAGCCAAAGGTTCCGTTCGCCCGTTCCTGCGCAGGACCTGTAATAATTAGTTGCATTAATTGATTAAGCACAAATTTAACCGTCAACTATTAATGAAAATCGATAATCGCCAGAAATGTGATAGTTCTAGGTTCTTTAACATGAGAATTGCTTTACTTGGTTTTACTGTCTGTCTTTGGGTTTTGGACAATTGGACAATTGATAATGTCATCTTGGGCTATATTGTGATGGGCGTTTTCTAATGTTTAATTGATCAAACAAATAATTATTTAATCTAGAAAATTAACAGCAGATTAATCAATAACAGTCCATAACTCAGTCCAATGACATCATGCACATAAAAAGCTTTGGTTGGGTTATGAAAATATAAAATCTTAATGAAGCATCCTGTCTGTTTTTGAGCCATCTCTTGTATAATAGTGGTTTGTGGAGAAAGTACTTTAAT